TTGAGAGGAAAACTGTGAATATTAATGAAGCTGACGTTCGTGAATCTGTGTGTGTGGGATAAAGTTACACTGTGCAGACCACAATCTCATAAAGCACATGTTCATTTCTGTTCTTTGTCTTTATGATTAATCATATTATTTCTCCATAGCTGCAGCTGCGGTGCCTCAATTAACAGCAATTCGTGCTCAAATTTCTAGCCTGTCTTTTTAAGCCCTGCTTTGCGTCTGTCACATTTTTTTGCACTCACTGTGGGCTCATTTTTCGCTGCAATATAAAGTCCTGCATCTCGATGGAAACAGCACCGCCATGACTAGAAGTAGAGACAACTCAGAGACGTCTTCTGTGCAGTGTGACAGTTAAACTACCACAAATCATAACACAGGTGTTGCCTATTCTGGAAAATAATCGTGATACTATAGAAATTTTAACTGTTATGTGTTTAATTTCCTTCCACACTTGTCTCTTAGCTGCACCGTCTAAATACTGCCAGCAGCTCAGCCCAGTTCAGCTGACAGTCCCTTGAATTTGTCCTGCTGAGTCCAACGTGGCTTTACGGTCGCACAGGAGACAGAATCTTTCCACTTTTACAAAATCTGATGAGTGCAACCGATTTATTTTTGACATTTAAAAAAAAAAAAGACACTTATAGAATTAAGTGATTTTCATGAAATATCACGACTTTAGCTAAGATTCAGACAATTTTCTCAACGGAGCAGCACATCACAGATGAAGAACTCAAGTACAGCTGAAAAAATTGAAAATCCAGGCACACTTGGTGTAATAATGGTTTCCTTTTTGCCTTCTAGTTTCTAGAGTCTGGGTTAAATCTGAGGGAAGGCTGGGGTTTAGTTGTCCTGTCCAGACCACCATGTTGGTGCCCAGAAAAGGTGTTGATGGAGTTCATCGAGCACAGTTAGAGCTGAACATGTCCAGATTAAGAAATACTGGAACATATTTGGCAGCTGCAAGAAAATTTACGTTATCATGTATACATCTATTTATTTTGACCAGTTCATTTATGGGACGATCATCAGAACAGATGTTCAAAAAACCCCCCCCAAAAAACAAGCTATGGATTCTTATTATATTTATTTATATAATAGGTTATTTATTTGTTTGTTTGTTTGTTTGTTTGTTGATAACTGGTGAATTTTAAGCATAAAAAAGAAAAGAAAAAAGACAACATGCTTTGAAACTTGTTAATAAGTTGTGTGGGTCAAAGGGTTAAAAGCAATTTAGTACATAAAGAGCCATTCTTCAAAGATGTTTTTTTTTATCTCTTCTTTTTACCTCATAAATACTTCATTTTGACCAAATTTACACCATCCATCCATTCATTGCCTGTACTTTAACCTCTGGAGGGCTGCGGGGGGCTGGACACTAAGCAGAAACTACAGTTAAATGGTTAATTACTGCACAATATATAATATATGATGTTTTTATTACAGCCAATCAGGCATAAACCAAATGTGTGAAGTATGTAAAGGTTTCCTCTGACAACACTGATTCATCTCCATCAGCATCCAGCCTGTAATGAGTCAGTCAGGACACCATTCATCTCCTCAACACGACATGATTACAGCATTCATTTATCCATCGAGGCAGAATTACACCATTCACTCGTCCAACTGGACATTATTACGCTGCTCATTCATCTAAGTGTGGTGCCATTACAGCGGAAAGACCTGTTTCCACCTGGGGAACATTAAACCTGCTCTGGACTGATTAGACTCCACTTTGCCACTTATGTGTTACGTTCAGAGCCAATGGGAACGCCGAGCTGCTGTCGTGAGAAACTGTTTTCTTCGTCTTACTGGATGAACTTTGAAATGCAGAGTGGTCAAGCTGAAAACTGTGCTTCTTCATTTAGAGCTACAATGCAACTCTTCTCCCACTGTTTTTAACAATCTAGCTGTTTTTTTATTCAGGCTAAGAGGCGGAGAATAATCCACCTCCAGCTGCGCCTGATATTGTGAGATCCTGAGTGTAGTTTGCACTGTTGATCTCTGCTCTGTGAACCACTCTGCTGTGTTTTTCACCGTGCAGAAGAGTTTGTGTTTTATTATTCAACCTCTTTAAAGATTTAGATTTGTTCGCGGAGCGCCTGGAGCGTGATGTCAAAGGCCTGTTTTCACTTAGCCGACATTAAACCCTCAGCTAATAACACTCCGCTAGTCCTTTCACACACAGCGGCGTTTATCGAGGCTAAATAATGGGAAGCTGCTCTAATTTATTTTATTATATTTATAAATCTGAATACAACTGTCTGCAGATTTTCTGTGGAAATGCATGATGGGAAGCGTTCTGAGCTCTTAATGGTCGGTTTTAATAAACACTGACATCTTTAACCTTAAAATATAATATCTCTACTTGTTGGCAACCTTCGACTATTGTGCCCAGTGTAATCCAATAATATTTTTCAGCTCTCAGCTCTCTGGCATTCTTCAAGCATGAACAGAACTGAACTGAACTGAAGAATTGTTTCATCTAAATGGAATCAACCTCTGAATCTCTACAGTAATCGTATAGAACAGAAAGTTGTAACGAATGCTGTAAAAGTGATAAATGATAACTTCATTTATGCAGCACTGTTTTCTTTTAAGAAGATCATTTTTGTTGAGTTTTTTCACCTTTATTATACAGGATAGTGAAACGTAGGGAGACGAGTGGGGGAAGGACGAGCAGCTAATGAGCCGCTGGCTGGACTCCAACTCCGGCTGCTGCTTTTGGAGACTATAGCCGCTGTACAAGGGTCACCGTCTTATCAGGTTGAGCTAAAAACACATTACAATGTCCTTTAAAAAAAGCATAAAATGAAAAAGAACGAAAATTGAACCTATGATGTTAAATAAAAGCAGCAAGACTACGGAAATGTCATGGAGTGAGGTTAGAACATAATAATCCTCAAATTTACGATGAAACTCTGAAAAAGGTTTGTTCTACCAGAGATTTGAAAAAGGAAACAGAGCTGACCTATCTGATCTCCTCTTGCAGGTTATTCCAGAGTCGAGGGCTCCAAAGGCTCGATTTCCTCCAGTTTTTAGCTTTGATGTAGTAATCACTAACATTCACCCACCAAAGGATGTCAGGCTGCGTTCAAACATTTCTCTAAAATTGGAGAGTTTAGAGAGCAACAGCTTTCCAACTAAAGTTGCGTCTTCAGGGTTGTGATATGAAGGAATTAGGTATTGCAACATTCATGAATTACAGCAATAAAAAGCTGAACCAGAGCATGAAAACTACATAGTATGAGGGGATTTCATCTAAGCTGGACAGAAGATAAAAGGCAATAATACTACTAAAGGTTAACAGATTCTCTAAAAATGATCAGTTTGTTTCAAATCCAACCTGTTTTAAGATTTAAAAAAAAAAGGTCAAAGCGAGAACAGATTTCTAAAATGTGATGTCAGTTAATTAAAATATAAAAAAGGGGATCCTGGTAGCCTCAGTAGAAACTGTTAGGGTTAGGTTAGAAATTGACAGCATAAGAATTCACCCCCTCTAAAGTGACTCATCTAATTCAACACAGGTGCTGCCAACTGGTGCAAGAAACAAACACACCATCCTCACTTTGAAGCACGGTGGTGGCAGCATCATGCCGTAAAGCGTGGTGGTGGCAGCATCATGCCNTTTCTGCAGGGAGCAGGCTTCACTGCTTTATCCTGACATCAAAGCTCAGAATCAGCTGGGAGGGTGAGACGGGTTTAATCTGGATCTGAATGATTTCCACCACCTGGGAAAGCAAAGGAAGCCGAGCATGAAGAAATTTATCAGCAGCTGAGGCTGCTGCCACTCTGCTCTTTTTGTTTGCTTACATGTGAACCACAGCGCTCTGAAAAGCTGCTTCACGCTTAACATGTTTGACATCTTTTTGAAAGATGTGACGTGTTTGCTTCACATGGACACACAAGAAAAATACACACGGCTTTAATATTATAGATCGTTTTGCATATCGCAGCAGGAAAAGCACTGGTTTGAAAAGACAGAATTATTGTTGGATGAATTCAGTTGAGCTGTTTTAGTTTTCTGTACACGCTGGGTCACATGGTCACAGTCACACATGTCACGACTTACTGAGATACTTTATGAAAACAAAACTGTTGTTGATGTCATGAACCTGTGCTTCCTGTGCCACTAACAAACGTACAAAAATCTGCTGGGAAAAAATGCCTGCTTTCCACCGTAGCGCTTGTTTTTGCTGCAGTGACGTCACTGACTTTGGACTGAATGGAGTCTGCAGGGGGCAAAGTGCAATCAGTTTGGAGATTTTATGGCTGGACTTGCATGAACGCACACTGGAACCAGGGTGAGGCGGACTGAACAGGGATTCATTTTTATGCAAATTATGGACGTATTCTAGGCTGAAACCATTTTTGCACCTTCAGCCTTCTTTTTGAAGCATTTTTTTCTGGGGTTTTTTTTTTTCAATTTATTTTTAGGCATTATGATGCTTAAAGCTGCACTCATCAATACTTTCTTANTGCAGTGTCTAAAAGTCCATCTACTAAATACGGATTTGGAGAGAGTGAATACTTGTGATATCACTTATTTCATCGTTTATATTTTGGATGAACTGACATTATTTTGTTGAAATCTGTTTTCACTCTGACTTCAAAGAATCTGTTTTTGTAAATTCTTGTCAAAAACGCCAAATTAAATTGATCATAATTCAGTGTTGAAAAGTAATAAAAGAGGAAACATCCCAAGGGAGCGTGAACGCTTTTTATAGGTACTAAATATGTTAGCAGAGCTGCAGGGATCTGATCTCGTTCTACGGTTGCATTACAAGCACAAAATAGGGCATGTTTTGATCATCATACACAGACAATTTCCCCGATTTCCATCTTGTCTCCAGGACTGAACATTTTGAAAACACAAACCGTTTGGTTAACAGACAACCTGTTCAGTCGCCCCGTCTCTGATACGACTGATATTAAAAACAGTTTATGTGACTCTCTAACCATATCTGTTGTTTTTCTGCTTTGTTATTGGTTGACAGAGGTGTGTGACAGCCCGCTAGTGACCAATCTGCTGCCGTCATCCTTTAGAAGCTCCTCCCAGCTGTCCAGCAGCCACGCACCGGGCTTCGCCAAACTCAACAGGAGAGACGGTGAGGAAAAGCATGACAAGTGGATAATGTTGTGTTTAATGAGTTGGACGTTCGGTCTGGATTTCACTCGAACGTGAAGTGTTTTAGCAGAAACATTAGACAACATATTACACAGTGTAGAGCTTCATGACCCAATGCTTTGACTGGACATGCTTCAACAGGTAGCAATAGAGCAGCTACTTTTTCAAAAAGTCAATTAATTCGAACAGAAACCTTGTCCGTGTAGCTGCCTGTCTGTGCATTTATGGTTTATTTGTAAAGGGGCAAGAACAGCGTGCAGCATGAAGCAATGCCTTATACCACAGCATTTATAGCCGAAGCTGGTTTGCTATGCCCGTCCTCAGGTGGGCCTTTAAACTAGATATAGTACAGCAACAAAACAACTGAAAATGCAGGACAAAACACAAAGCTCAGTATAAACACAGAGCACAGAACACCTCTGAATGCATGGATGAATACAAAGCGGATTTACACATGAATGCTGCACACGTGCACAAGTTGCGCTGGTGAATTTGCACACTTTGGTAAGGACACGGTGAAATGCAAAGTCTTAAAACAGCCTTTTTTTTCTTTTGCAAGTTTGTAACCTCCAGTGAAGAAGCTGAAATACTTCCAGTTTCTCGGGTGCTTCTATATTGTGATTGTTCAGTCAGCACGGCAATCAATAGCACATGCAGAGAAGTGTGTCAAGCGGACTGCAGCCACCTCTGCTGAGCCTCGTATTTTAAACATTTATAGACTGTAAATATTTTAATTCAAGCAGGTTATTAAATATTAACTTTTCCCCCACTTTCAAAGAAGTTTTTGAATATTGAGTAAAAAGTGACAGGCCTAGTTAATGATACTGACTAGAGTCACACACAGCATGTTTGTTTGCTCCATAAAAAGATGACAGATACTTCATTATATTTAGTGATCAGTAGCCTTCTTAAAATATAACCAAAAAATTACATTATTTATTATCTGTGCAGCCAAAATGTGTTTGTTTTGTAACTGATGCTTTTGGTATTTATTGTTTGTATGAGGTAAGACAACATAAATTCGTTTGGGATGCTCGACTTTCCATTACGCTCACTGCGTAGGGACGGAGGTGCAACCTGCAACAACTTCAACAAAAAGTGTGGATTTGAACAGAAGATGTTTCAGGTGTTTTAATGAACTTAGTCCACCAGGATGCCCTTGTTAGTTTTTCCTTTATGAATTTTTATGAACAACTGTATTTGTGTGAAACTGCTCTTTGCCTGAAAGAGCTTGTGGGAATTTTACTAGTGTTTCAATCAGAATGCAGCTATATGTGGATTAAGGGGAATGCAAATGATCTCTTGGTTCAGTTTTTCAGTGTGTGATGCTTCATTAATGGGGAATTGTGCTTCTTTATTACTGTGGAGTTGCTCTGTAACAGTGGAGCTCAGTGGAAGAAAAAGTTTTGTTAACCTCAGGACACAAAGCGCAAAGCATCACAAACAGAAAAGTTTTTATGGGATTCGCTCAGATAAACAGACAAGTCACCGGTGGCTAGTTTAGAAGTAGACAGAGGATCAGAATTATTTCTGGGAGACCAGAAAA